AATTCTTCTCGCAATTGAAGCGAAGGTTTCCTGAAAATCTTGACAACGCGAAAGCGCGAAGTCCTCCTCGGTGAACTCAATGGTTTTAAATAAACCGATTTGAATTCCGTCAGACGACGGTAGCCAAACACGGAACTTTGTCAAACAAATGCGAAGACTGGATTCGTCGACTTACGCTTAAAGTATCACGGCTCGCCTAATGGCGAAGAATGAGATTCGCGAAATGCCAAGATTCCAGAGTATAAGAGGGATTTACTCTGGCCAACGACCGATGCTTCCTTCGCGCCCGAGTGTTTTCTTAGAGATACCAGGCCGCAGGCTAATTCGGGGGATAATTACGCGGCCGTGCAAACTTGTGCCATAATCGCGGCCCGTTCCTCGCGCTCATTCACCTGGAATAATAGAGACAAACCGGAAGGGATTTGGAGGTGTCCGCTGGAATAGTCTTCGCACCGCCAGGTTATCAATTATTCTTGTTATTTATTATGCACGGGTCCGGGACTCTGGTATTACCAAGCCGTTCATTCTGAAATGTATACAGTACTGTGCAAAAGTCTTAGGCCACTTACGATCCGTTACATCTTTTACATTTTTACCGCTATAAAAAGAGTAAACATTTTTTAACTTAGCTTATACCCTCTGAAATTAGATAAATATAATATATAAAAAAAAAACTACAGAAATTTGATAGTGACGGTATAATAATTATGTCAGAAGGGTGGAAAAATATTGCAAAACAAGAGAGATTATTTTTTCTATTAATTTCAGTAGCAGAAGAATAAGTGGCATGAAATTATGGGACGACCTAATATATATTTTACTAACATAGATCTATTTAAGTGTAACAGAAGCTTAGCATAAGACGTTTGCACAATGCTGTATGACTGAAGCGGCGACGAACGTATTAATCCCTAGGTCTTGCCGACTAAAAATTGTTCAGGAATTACCTTCACACGAGACGTCTCGACAGTGGCAAGTTCGCTCGACGTTTTCCCAAACACGATGGCACGAAACTAACGAGAAGGGCGTCGAGCCGCAGAACCGAACGAAGGGAAAGATAGATAATGGACAATCCCCGCGAATCAGTTGTCCGATAGGCGGACGTGACATCCTGCAACAATGCAGCCGTACACTGTTTTTCCATTATACGGCATTAACAGCAGCCACGAAACTCCCGTTCTCCCATTCCTTCTATATTTGTTTGGATCTCCGTCGACGGGCAACCGTTTTTACTCTTTTTATCGCTCTAACTTATTCGATTTCCGGATTTCATTTCTTTAACGGGCTTTAAAACAAGTTTTACTACGTTTCGATTTTGTTTGCAGAAACTACAGGTGCTTTGTGTTTATTGGTTTCATTGTTTGAGAAAGACCATGTTACATAATACCGAGTTGCAAACAACTTGCGAGGCATTCACTTTGATATTTTAGATCGATGGCGCGGCGAGCAGCTCGTTTTATTGTCAAAAATCGTAGAGAAGAATAAGAGCAGAGTCAACGGAGCTAGGCGTGGACCGGGATCTGTGACAATTGGGGCGCGAGAATTCCGTTTTTCCACGCTCGAGAACTCGGCACGGTTTTCGAGCCGGGCCGAGCGTTTTATTTATGCACGACGCCTGGTCAAAATTAGCATCGCGGCCCACCGAATTATCGACGGAAAATCGATTTCCGAACCCGTCAGGGACGTTCCCCGCGTGTGCAGTGACCTAAACCCTCACGATTTGTCGCGACTCGCTGTTCCTCGTGGTTCACTCTATTGGTCGGAACGATTCTTTGTAAATTCTTTTTTTTTTTATTACAACTCACAGCAACTGCGACTTCAGGACGTAAACCAGCATCGAAGGTATTTCTTTCTTCAATAAAGTGTTTAAAAAAAAAAAAAAAAAAAACACTTCGTAACGAGACCAACGTTCGCCGAGATTACCACGCGTTATATAATTAGTCTTCGCTTGAAGAAAATCTGATTTCCTGTCCAGCACAGCGAAAAAAATTAAATACAGACAGCGAAGGGTTGAACATTAGCGTTCGGGATAACGAAAAATGTACTCACGTCCTGTGCAGAGAGAATCCGCGTGGCTGACTGAATGGTCGTGCTTGCCGAGTGGGGCCGATGACGCAAGGATTCGGCGGTATTGTCTCTAGAACAAACACTCCTGTACCAGGGCAATCCACTCGAGCTGTCTCGTCTGTTCCGATATTTCCTCCATACGTGTCTGCGAAACAGGACAAAACGCGTCTCTGTCATTCGGTGCTCAATAATCGCTCTCTTTGGAAGCTGTTGCGGAACGCAAGCTCCATCTTCGAGGGTGGCACTTAAGACTAGGAGGGTAAACATTCGAAGAGGTCCCATTTCGTTGACGCAGAAAATTAACGAAAAATGCATTGCGTGCATGTACTAATATTCTATTTTAAAGATTTATTTAATTTTGTCTAGTTCAAAGTAAGAAGCCAAAGTAAAAATTATAAAGTGTTCGCGTATTATAATTTTTCATTGTGCGTTTGCAATCAGCAATCGAGGAAGCGCGAGTGCCATCCGTAACTCGTAAATTCTCCCGGAAAATCTCGAAATCGTTCGTACGCCGAGCGCAAGTAATTTCGACGCGTGCACGGAGCATAATTTCGAATGCGACCAGCGAGCAGTTTGAACAACTATCGGATAAATAGTTGCCCGTTCCCCCGAATGGACCGACCGCGACGTAATCCTCGGCCCACCGCCGCAATTTCTGCAATAACGGGGGATTACTTGTCAACCCCCTACCCCTACGTTGGTTAGAACGAAAATTTGCGAGTTCCTAGCCGACGCGCACGAATCCGTTAGACTGCGGGGCCATCGGGTTCCTTTTTTTATCGCAAAGGCACTGCGACTTAGGCTGGGGGTTAATTTTTCTGGATCAAGGGATCGTGGGAATTTTATATCCTTGCCGGCGATTTCGCCCTAACTGGCGCAAAAATGTCGACAGAGAGCGCTTTATCAAGGGGTTTCGCACCTGTGGCGACCTGGAAATACGAGGTTGCGTTTAGGATGGGGGTGTGAAGCTTAGCTTTGGATTGGAAGAACAAATTTATAACATACAGTTCCTTTTGAGAAACCGTCTGTTTAGTTTTAATTTTAGAAGTTGAAGGTGGATGTGAATGTTGTGAATGCAACGTAAAGGACGTTTGTACTTTATCGTAACAAAATAACGTAAATATATTTCTATTTGAACTAAAGTTATATGTGAATGATCGAATATAGAGGCACAGAATTAAGTTCTACACCTAATATTTACATACGAGTCGTTCATTGCACGAATCGATTAACTCCATAAAACAAAAAGTTGAGAAATCCGATGAAATAATGTTTCAATGGCTCATATAGTATCCTTTCAATCTAACTCTATTCTATCCTATATATATATATTCTATATTCTATCCGACTCATCGATCGTGTCAATACTATTTTCTTTCTTCAATAAAGTTTCAATAGTTTAAAGAACAAGAAAAGATTTAACGATAAGACAGAACAAAGTTCGCCATGATCAGCCAGTACTTTTATATTTTACATCATAAATCAAGTAACTCTTACAACCCTATGAATCTTGCGTGCCATTCAAAAAACTGAAGGAGAGACACAAGATTCGTCACTAACCGCGCAACGATCATCTCAGGAAGACCGTTAAGTCAGCGAATAAGTTAACGGTACAGCGACAGTCACGTTATAACAACGAACAAGAAGAACCATGCGCGGTCAGCTCGCGAAAGCGAAATCCTCGACGTTGATTAATGGAGCAATTAAAAGCTAACAATAAGTCAACCCGCGCGACGAGCGCGACTCGATCACTGTCGAACCTACTCGCTGCCATAACGCCCACCCTCGTCGGATATTCGCGCAGTGATCGATCGTTGCCCGCCGATCGTAATCTCTCATCCCTCGCAGCGTATCGATGGCTAAATCCATGCGCCATTTGCTTCCCCGCCCTCTCATCGGCGATACCGAACGCCTGGAACCGACAAAGAATTCGGTTCTGTCGTTCGATTCGAATTTTTCACTCCGGCACCATTTCTTTTCCATTTTATTTTAATTCATTTTGAATCTACTGAACCCCTACCGATATCGACACGCGTTCATTACAAATACTTTTTTTTAAAGCTGCTACGTTTTGTTAAATTTGATATAGAATTCAATTCTGTGTCAATCAAATCGAGACCAACTTTATTTACTTTCAATTCATGTTATTTATTAGACATTATTAAATTTACCTGTCTGCCTACGTCCACTTTCATTTCCAATAAATGTTTGCATTAAAATGTTACATGAGTGTTAATGAAAAATTAGGCATAAAGACTGGAACCCACGATCCTTGGATCTACAGTAATTTGGAATTGCACAAAAACTAGAACGTTACATCGCATACGGTTGTTATTAATTTTATTTCTTCTTAGAAAATGTTCAGTTCTCCGTCGCATACTTATGTTTATTCGCGAGCCAATTACGAGTGCCGCTCGCAAATGGTAGTCGAGATGTTAAAATCCTTTACGGATGCGAAGGTCCTTTTATTTCACAGGAGTTCTCGCAAACGAATCGGAAATAAAACTTCAAAGTATTCACCGGTTTGTTCGTTTTATCTTTCGAGGAACGGTACGGCGGTTAGCGCGTTATAAAATCGCCAGCGACGAGACGGGAGTTTTGGTTCAAGACGGAGGCAGAGATAAAAGTTTGCGACGCTTCTCGAAGCGAACGCGGCAAGGTAACCATAGCCATCTCACCTGACACCGAAGGCGATTCCCAGCGCGACGATCAGAGGCAGCAGCGTCGAGATACACGCTAGAAAAACTGTTTGTATATCTGAGAAACCAGCGAGTATACCTGCAACACATCAAAACATTATTTTCAAAATATTGCTCGTCATTCGTTGTTTAAACGTATTTAATACTTCGATCGACATGTCGACGATATTATCATTTTTAGCTTTTGGACGTTCTGCTTGGGTTTAAAGGAATTCTAAAAGAATTTTAAAAGAATATCTAATATCTTAAAATTATAATTAATCGATGCACTAGAATTCTTTTCAAATCGTTTTCATGACCATTTCGATCACGCCAAAAGAAATATACGAGCAGCGCTAAAAGAACCCAAAATGCAACGAACAAACGTGGACTTTTCATGGAGGCGCGCATTGCGTGCATTTTCACCTAATTTCGACGAGGAGAGCTGCGAGGATATTCCAAGATGACATCTGTTTAAAAGTAAGCGAGAAATTTCTTGCCTAATTTCCCTATTTCAAACATCTCGCGTTTCTTAACCAAAGAATTAATAACAAGTTCTGTAATAGGTTAAATCCAAAATTTTCTCTCAGCACGTTTTACGACAATATTTTATTATAACGTATTATATAATGTATAGCATCTGGTGAATTATAAAACGTTACTTTTTTTTAAGTATACGTACCATAAATATCTGAAGGAAAATTGGTATAAAATAATAGCTGAAGTGAATGTAATTTTACTCGATTACAGGCTTTCATCCTTCAAATTCTAGGTTACAACCACAATTTCCAAGCCTTCGAAACAATCCCTGGCACGACTCGATCCTCCTTCAACGATGCATCCACGCGAAACTAACCCTTCAACGATCTCGTTTCCATTGACCCCAAAACGCTATGATAAGCCGCAAATTTCGAACGTAAAATGAACGAGTGTTTCGAGGATTGGAGGGACGCGACAGAGGAGGAATGGACGAACTGTCATTTCCGGAAGCTGGTGCCGCTTTACAGAAAGTCACCGTGCCTGTGGAAGAAGGACTCGAGGCACTATCTTGACAGCGAGCGCAGGCACCGCGCGTACAGGTACGATTTGAATAAAAAAAAAAAATACTAGATGAATGGCAAATATTCCGCACAAATTATTAAGTAACAAGTTGGGGATGTGTATTGTAAAAAATACTTGGGGGACTTGAAAATTAATGTCATTTCTTATACATTAAATTCAAGCAAATACATTCTTAATAAGTTTCTAGTTTTATCCAGCTTGTTGATTTTTCTATAACTCAAAAATGACTACATGTTTTAAACTTGTTGGACATGTTCAGCTTTACAGCAGTTCTTATATTTTATTTTGGATAAAATTGTACAGTAATTTAAGAGGTAATTTTATTTTAAATAAAATTTCAGAAAACGGCTGCAAGGATATATTTATTAAAAACGTACTTTAGTGCAACCTTCCTCACCCTATAAATTCCTACAGGCGCATTTGCGACGCCATGGGGTTGCCAGGGGTGACTCTGGTGGAGATCGTGTTGAGGATTCGGGGGATGCGCAAACTATACGTGTCGGAGCTGAAGAAGCTGCTGGAGGCCGAGTCGAGCGGCGACTGCTATCAGAACACGTTTCCCTGGTTCTACGATTTGCATCGATTCCTCTATCCGTACCTGGACTACGACGAGGCAGTCGAGTTGCACGTTCGTATCGATAAATTCGTTACGCCATTAGCATCGACGGTACTCGACGGGTTTGCCAATAATAACCTCGCCTCTAGCTTCTCGTTTACGCTGCTCCCCGTTTAGGACAATTTATGAAACGGGTTTGATACTCCGATTACAACGCTGCCACCCGGATAATCCAGGTCGAACTGAACTAATATCGTTAATTCTAACCTTTCGAACTCGGCGACGACTCACAGTCGATATCAGGTTCATTGAAAGTAACTTTGTCTCCATTAAGAGTCATATTGCTCAACAACCAAGTATGAAGGTTGTTGGTTTAACAGAGAATGTGCTTTTTGAGTAACGAATTATTGCAAAAGAGGATCGTAAGCTTTCTTTTTGAAACAACAAATTTAATATCACGTTCAATTATAAAAATGATAACCTAGATTACTCGTCTGTATCAAATCTTGACACCCAAGGCAAAACGCTTTTACTAAAAATCATTTATTTCGCGACTTCCAGACAATGCTAAATGAAATAATATTTGAAGCGATATATCTTTTAATTTTAATCCGTTGCACTCTCGAATCCAGTTATACTATCCTAATTAAAGGTGTCGTACTATAAATAATAAAATAAATAAAACGAACCGCTAGGTTAAAACGAGTTATTATTCGCAATCGTTGCAGCCTAAGTAATTTTAATATTCCATGATGGTACTGAATTACAATTATCGTACAACCATCCACCTGATCTGAAAATCAGAGCATTTCCCTTCATCCTGGCTCACACAGATCCACATTTACGAGCTCGGAACTCTGCGAACAGAAAATCCGTTCGCCCGAACGGGCGCCAGGATAAGTAGACTCTGGCCAATCGGCTCGTAAACCGTCTAAGGAGACAAGGGAATTTTTAGGAAGATACGAGTCCAGAAATGGGAATGCACGAGCGGCTCTTGGCGCGAAGCCTCGGCGTGCATAAAACGGCTGTCGTAAATATTTAAAAACAGATCTCCCATTCGGTGCAATTTCCGTGCTATTATAGCCCCCCATCCGCCTCCGCCCGTCGCGAAATTTACGGTTCACCGTTAACCCTTTCGATACGGCTACGTTTTTCTTCGGCGCGCTTCCTCTGTGCTCGATACTTGAAACGTTGAATATCTTCATATATATATATATATATATATATATATATATATATATATATATTCCATTTATTATTCGTCTCTATTTAGGAATTATTTACAAATGGTTATACCTTTAGTAACCATTTATTTGTAATATATAAATAATAAATACTTAAATATATATATATATGTTTTCTTCAATTCTTTGTCTGTGTTTGTGAAAATATGAATTTGCATAAACATTCACCATTTCAAACATGTTAGTACCAAACATTTTAACCAACAACCATTCCTTAGCATTGAATTTAACCGAATACCACCGAAAAACAATTCCAATTTCTAATAATACCAGTGACAATGAATGTATCGATGTAGGATTCTTTTATTTAACGATGACAAGGGGATGATTCCTTTTTACTTTCTTCAATTAAATACTTTTTTGCTTCGTTTAATTATGTCTTCATTTACGTAACCTCACCTTCATTAAAGAAAAGAATCCTGCATCGATGCATCCTTGTTATCAAACAAAGTCCACGTCGTTTATTCGACAACCATCGTATCGATCTGCAGCCGTTGCCGGTTGTAAACGTTGTAAGTTCAAAGTGCAGGTCACCGTAGTGACCAACAAGACAGTAAACGCGTTAACGGTTGATCGATTTCCACTGATCCGCAGAATGGCGACCGCGATATCGCAGAGTTTAGAGAAACGAACGATCCTCGTCGGAATCCATCCCATTGCTGCTGCGTCGACTGTCCCTTGTCGAACTGGAACATCGCCGACAGACCTGTCGATCGTTTCTTGCCACCCAGACAAGCTTTCTGCGCCCAGGCTTCCACCAGTTCCCCTGTCGTTTCCTTGCCAGAGGTCAGGACTCGTCCTAGAACTTGTCCCCGGTCGTGCAGCAGTATTACGCGCGAGGACGGGGCCACTTCCGGCAACGTTTGCCACGTGGACAGCGATTCGAGTTCCTGCCACGGGAATTTCGAACTCGATGGATTCACCACGGACGCTTCGACGGGGACTCGACAGGTTGATTAACGATGCAAAGGGGGGGGGGGGGGCGAATTAACCCTTTCAGCCGGAATTCAAAGGGGACCATTTAGAGGATTTTGGTAGTTTGTTTGGGACTGGTTTAGACAGAGAGTTATTTGCCTCGTGTGTCGTTCCAACGGGTCTCGATTAGTGTTTGTATTATTATTCGAGTATTGAAGTGGATTCATTGATATCCGAATGGGAATTTTTCATTTGTGTGTTATGAATATGTAAAGGGTATAAATTTTGCAATTTTTGGAAGTTACTCGCGCGTTACGAATTTATAAAATGTATACGTTATATAGTATCTACATTTTTCTTGTACAATTTTTTTTTTTTTTTTTTAAGAAAATTTCAAAATGCACGAATTTCAAATAAAATTGTAAAGAAATATTTGTATTATTATTGAAAGGAAGAGAATTTAGAATGTGTGTATTTAAATCTTCTCGTTGCCACAGGAACAGCAACACGAATTTACTATCTGCGGGTTACACAACGCATCGTCTTATAGTGACTCTATTGAGACCGATTCGGATCACTATGAAGCTTTCTCAACGATTGTTGCGCGTTGTTTGAGGAAATTGGGCAGACCCGTTGCAAATAGAGCGCAATCGGAAATTCGGAAAATCTTAGCGAACCTTGTGGCAGAATCACATGTAACTATGAGACTTACAAAATTATTTAATTTTATTATACTACTCGAGTATAATAAAAGATCAGATCCTCGTACGGTCAAAGTACGATCGAGTAGTATTATTTTTTTATCATATTGATAACATATTTTGGATGTACTATTTTTCAGATCAAGAAATAAGGGACAATTTAAATCTTGATGCTATATCGACAAAATCGTTAATATTTAATATTGAATTTGACCTGTCTGGCAACTATCAGATTTAAATTTAACATACTGTGAATGAATAATTAAAGGATCACTGTATTGCAAAATTTACAAATATGTTAATTTTGTATAGATAGAATAAAGACTGATTAATTAAAAATCTGGAGTCTAGTGATAACTGCACTTATTAGGGAACCACAGAACCAGCGTGCTCCAGTAATTACATTGATACAACACCAAAGTTTAGTGATCATCAATAACGGAACCCTACCGTACGTATTCAGTGTGAATTTCCAGGATATCAATTATGTAGATTATGTCTATTAACGTGGCCAGTGCTGGTTCATGTAAACACACTTGGAATACTACTACATCTATGGGTGAATCGATTATCGCTCCATATCGCAGCACTTAAATTCCTCCTGCAAACTTGCTTTCTGTTGTAACCATCAATAACAAAATTGTTCACGTTTAATTGTGATTATGTAAACTTTCGCCTAAAATAAAAAAAAAAATAGATGTATTCCGCAGAATTTGTGTTGTATCAAAATATAAAATTCCAAAATCCTTCTGCAACACTTCAGAGGGAATGTCCTATATGCACTTGTTCTGGCCAGTGTCTTACATTCGCCTTATTTCAAGTTTCTTTTTATATACCTTCTTTAGATTTTCTTTATTTCCAAGTTAAGCTGGTAAGTTTATAACGTTGTAAAACAGCTGTTGCTGAACCCCGTCCATTCGCTGTGGCGAAATCCAGTGGATTATATAGTTTGTGTTACTTTTTCTTCCTTTCTTTTCTGTGCCCGGGTTTCCGATGGCGTAGTAAAGAAGTTAAATAAAGTAAATCGAGATAAGAAGGTTGAGTAGCTGGATAGCCATAAAATGCTACTTCCAAAGTAGACGTTTATATGAAAAAAACCTTTTAAAAATATGCATAGAAGAGAATCTTTAAGTGTATTTTATTTTTATTTTTAAGCTACACCATTAACTCGACTCTACACTAATTAAATGCAACACATTCAATTTATTTCAATACCGTTATTTTAATAAATGACAGTTTGTTCTATAGAACATGAAATTCAATCCATTAAATATAAATTTCGACGAGTTAAAAATATTCCCCCCAATTTTACCGTTTACCGACGTCTGGTTTCCACGAAACTATTCCGAATCTGTGCCGCGCCGGAATTTTTTAAAAAAAGCCAGATGGTCGATCGCGAACACCGTTTTCACTACCCCTTCGTTCTTGCGCGATAGGAAGCCCTCATAAATATTGCAAAAAAGCCGACGGTGCGAGTAGCTCGCAGACGAGCATGAATATCTAACGACAAAAAGCTTCAAACGGAGGCTGAATTCCGATACACGGAACGGGAATATTTTTATATATATATATTCCATTTAATTTTCGCATTTATTCAGAAAATATTTACAAATAGTTATTTAGCAACCATTTGAAAAGAATTGGTATCATTCGTTTATGTTATAACTATTGATTAGCAATGAATTTACTCGAGCATCATTTAAAAAAACACTTAATTCCACAAATAGAAGTAATATCTCAATGAAATAAATATTTCTGTTTCACAAAAACACACGAAACCTCTAGTTATAATTTGTAATTGGTTAGTTGATATCGCCCTACTTGGTATCGAACGGTATCCACATAATTTAATAACCATTTCATAGTTCTAGGTATCGAATATTAATATTATGACCATTAGTGAGCATTCAATTTACTCGAGGAACAATTACAATCAGAACAAATGGCCATTTATTATTTCAAATTTGTCCTTTGGATATGAACATCGTTTTCACTTCTCTTTCGTTCTTGCGCGATAGGAAACCCCCATAAATATTGCAAAAAAGCAGACGGTGCGAGCAGCTCGCAGAAGTGCATGAATATCTAACGACAAAAAGCTTCAATCGGAGGCTGAATTTCGTCGTACATCACGGTCGTAGCGCATGGATGGTATCGATCCAGCTTTGGTAGACCGCAGCGTTACGATTAGTATTCCGTTGGTGTCGCGCAAGGACAAGGATGGGGAACAGCAAGATTTGCTCCTGCTGAAACGCAGGATGCGCGCCACGCAGCCTGCACTTGATAACGGGTTATCTATGGTACAGTACGTAACGATACCATCGCAAACGGGATTCTTATCGAAAAAGCATTGGTGCTATTTCCTTTTTTTTTTTATTAATTACATTCAATTACTATTTTATTGTTTGAGATAATTACTTTGATTAATTACTACTTTTTTTTTATGTGTCTTATGAAAGAATTACAGAATTACAGAATTTCTAATATAATACAGCGAACGCATTAAAGTTTCTCAACTAACCAGCATCAGGTTAAATTATTTTGAAAATGGCCACGTTAAAGAGTGAAGGGAGTGCAAAATGCACCACCACGAGTAACTAGGACTTAAAAGCAAAGTCTCGTTCGAACTTGGAGGAGCAGACGACAGGCTTTAAACTTCTTGATCCTCCAATTTCCAGGGAAAAGTTTCGGCAAACAGTTGTCAACGAGCACGTATCGGGGGAGATATTTTTCCAATAGAGCCCACGAGGCGAGCAAGGCCCCGATAGTAAATTCAAATGACGAGGAAGGATTAACCATCCGCACTCCACATTTCTTTTAAATTTTTATTTCAATTATTCTCTATTATTCCAGATTCCAGAAAATCGGCTATTTTTCAGTCGTTCGAACCAGAATGGCTTAAATGGGAGACCCTATAACGTTTCGTCAGAGGTTCGCCATTCGAACGGAACCAACCGTTGCCCTCCGAATCGTTGAAGGGTGACACCAATCGTGGACGTTCTTCAAACGAAAAATCGTCGCGAGGTAAAAGAATAACGCCGGCTGAAAAAAACTGAACAGCGTCAATTGCATTTCGCGCGGTGCACGGTTAATTCAATGGAAACGTGGTTCGCCATCGGTGGAAACTGTGAAACTGTTTTCCGAGCGAACAAAGCGACCATGCTGTATCGACGAAGCCTGGATCGAAGCACCGTCGAGTGCTGCGCCCTCTGTGACCTACAATCCTACCATTGCAAACGCAATTTTATATCGAAAGGGCATCAAAGCTGGTTCCACTCTTTGACAGGTTGAAAGCTGGCAACTTTGTTACTTAACTTTTACTGGCATTAGCCTGAAACGTATCGAATCTCTCTCGCTTTTCATGGATAAAAGTTGTAAGATTGTTAAGACCACGGAGCAGGATGGCAACTTTTAGTACACCCGCAATGTCATTAAATTTGTTCGACAATTTTATCGTATCAGGGCATTTTATGTAGATACCGAAAATGTATGTCCAATGCGGGTGCATTCGAATAGGGTGTGTACGATGTATAGTGCGTTTCCAATTCTATAATATGTGTACGGTGCCTAGTGCGTGTGCAATAGTGTAACACGTGTGCGTTTATCAAATATTTGATTTGGCGGATGTCTCTATTGATTCTCTCTAATTCCGTTCCATAGCTATGACGTGTGAATATACGTTGCATCTTATTTGAAATTAAATTTTAATTCAAGAAAACGTTCTCCCCTTTACCATCATGAAAGAAACAAAGCGAATAAAAGAATTTCTTTCGAACGAAATTACTCGTACTACGAACTCTGTCTCATCCTCGTCCTAACTTCCAATCACCGCATCTGAACCTAAACTTCGTCCTGTCCTATGCCCTCGACTTTCAAAGTCCTTAAAATCCATTTCCTCCAAACGAAACCTAGATACAAACTACCTAACCTGTCGAACACCAGTACCTATTTGCTCAAAAATTTATTGTATATTATTTAATACCATCCATTACTGACATCTAGTTATACTCCTTAACCACCCTCTCCCTTTCTCCCTCCGCACAATCCCTTATAACCATATTCATGGAGTCTTATTACTCACTGTGATCGAGCTCGTCGTGCTCCACGAGGTATCCAGTCGTGTTGTAGACGTGATGGTCGGGCTTAGGGGTGCTGGTCACCGCAGCTCCACCCGTTACTGTCGTGGACGGATTAGTCGGGATCGCCGTGCCAGCGCTAATCGCGGCTGCGACCGCGCTAGGCGGCGACGACGATATCGTCGATACGAGATTCATCGTGGTGTTCGAGGTCTCGACGACCTTCGTCGCGTTCAGCTCGCTCATCATCTTTGCCGACCCTACGCTGACATATCACCACCGTCGAGGATTCGCCGCACTGGCGACCGCGACACCGTTATTACACCGAGATACTCGTCCCGGCTAGTTCCTGCTCATCGATTCTATCACTTCGGACACGGTCCAATATCCGATTCGCAATTACGATTCAATTTAGACTTACGACGCGCCGATTAGACCCGTACGCCGGGCGACAGCCACTCGCTGGTGAATGTAAACGAGCGAGGACCTAAAATCGAGTTCCTTGCGACGGCCACGCGGTTCCTACGGTACGGGCTTCGCATCTCTCCAGAGGGACGATCATCGATCCGATCCGAGCCACGGAACTGTAATTTACCCTATCCGGTGGCCACTCAAGTTCTCCTCAAAGACGGACGCTCGACTCGATTCACCGACGTCATATCGAACGATTAACGAACGACCAGTCTCGTCACGCGTACAGATACATCTTGTAGACGGTCTGTCGGTGAACTGTGAACAGGATTCACCGAATCCGGATTCACCAGGGACGCCCTGGGGACCGTTTCCGTATCGCGGTTCTGAGGAGAGCAGAAACGATAGAGACTCGTTGAGAGACGAAACGAATCCTTGATAATTCCTTGGGTTCAACCTCCGTCGGTGGTTGCTGATTCCTCCCACCGCTTGGTTACGCCGGTGGATTAAGGGCGAAGAAATCGCTGCGAGGGGATGGGAGGATCTCGTTTGCTCTTGTCTGTCTCCGCGACCCTTGTCGCTGCGCGGCACGTTCAGCTAGAGCTTCTCGGTTCAATCTCACCGTGGACGACGATCCTGCTGGTGTTCGTTAGCTGCCAAGCGAACGTCGCTCATTCTTGCTGCTTCGCTCCCGGGAGTACCGCTTCTGCAACAGAAAAAGAAAACGTCACTGGATTGTCCCGTGTAATTCCGTTAACCAGCTATGGGAACTCGTCGACCGTTTGCGGTGGATTACTCCGGGCACGGTTAGGGGAACGCTGACGGGCTCGTTCGACGGGACATCGCGAGAGTAACCGAGCAATTTGATTTTTTTCAATTCGGCTTGGTTCGCTTATTAAGCCTGACGCTGTTGCTGGGAACACCATTGTGTTCTGTTTTGTACGCGCAGTCTTCGCGAGCACTACCGAAGGGATTACGCGGAAATTGCACACTTCGCTATAATAATCGGAAGCTGAGCTTTCCACGCGATGTGGTAGTACGTATTGTACTATAGCGTACTATATCCATACAGGGTGTCTCAGAATTAGTGTAAGAACTGGTGTAAGCCTCACCGTGTATATGATATTTAAAAAATGGAATACAAACTTTTGCGTAAGCTTAAATTCTTCTTCTGCGTCTATAAAAATATGAATTAGCATAAACATTCGGAGTCTAGCGATTAGCGATCATCTGTCATTGTCGGTGCAGGACTGATTTTCAGACACAATCCGTCGTTCATGCGCGCGACACTGATTAGTAACAGATCTGGTTCGAATTCGAAACACTCACGGACAGCCAATTTCGAAATAGGCTGTTCCCCGTACCCCCAGCAGCGGTTTACAACACGGCCGTCCTCGATAATTAAACTTGGCCGTTAGTTAGCGCGGGCATTGTTCGGCTAACAGTTTTCCGGGCACGGAGTAATTATTCATAAGCACAAGTTCGTAATGAACGTGTGCTGCGGGTAGAGCTTGAAAATTTGGTCGTACGATGAGGTATTTGCTCTAATGACTTAGGCTCTATTATTTCTTTGCTTGAAAAGCATGAAAATGAAAATATATCCTAAGCTAATGATTTTTGGACACAAATAGTTCAATTTATTTTTGTAGAGAATATCTGACTATTCATCATAAATAAACCCCATTCGAAACTATTCCAACACCATTTGAAACATTTTCCGCTATGTATGGCAACATTGACGTAAATCGAGGCGATAATACCTGGTGAACCATTTCAGTCTAAAAACTAAAATGTCCAAGAGTCAGAGCAAACTGGAGCAGAGTATAAGGAATATATTCTGTCACGGTGGACACAAGAGAGTCGATAACAATTAAACATGGATAATAAGCTCGTGAATAGAACTTTTTTTTAAATGCCA